CTCAAGCAACGCCTTCATCCCTTCTAGTTCAGAAGCGAGCTGGGCCACCTGCCCAGATATGCCCTCCGGAACCCTGGGGCTCCTCTTGCTCCTCTTCCGTGGAGGCCCCATAGCCTCAGAAGACACACGTTTCACAGGCTGGCTGGCGCTTCGAAGGACAGAACAATTAGGGCATGCCGCATCAGTCAAGGCCTCCCCGTTCGCCGTCGATAAGAGAAAAAAACTTACCAGACGAAGAAACCAAGCTGTAAATAATGAAAAGCTTGCGCAGCCTCTGGAGGGCGAGATGAGCCTCGCAGCTCCGACCAAAGTCTCGAGGCTACCAGCGACAAGCAATCAGTGTCGTACCACCTGTTCAACCCGCATGCGAGAAGATGAAAAGGGACTGAGCTGTCGCTGTCACGTGACTATATAGGCACACCGGTGTCACCGGGGGTCACACGTGACTATGTTGGTATAAGATTCTAGACCTGTGCATGCGCAAGAGTGATCATTCGTGCTTTAAGCGCCGCCTCTGGCGGTCAGTAGGGATGAAATAGAAACACGGTTCTGAGCGAGAATTAAAGTTAGAAGGTGAAAGGAAGTACATACAGTTAATCGCAGTAAAAGCTGAGCCAAAATATGCCTGAAAGGGACAGTTTCACTAACAAATGGATCTTCTATATAGCATCAGATCTCTACCATAGCAGCCAAACAGATTTACCCCTCAGAATGGCCAGATATTACTACTATGGAGAGACAAAAAGCAGAGTTTGGGGAGTTTAGGTGTGGTCATGTCAAATATAATTTAAAGAGGTCAAAACGGAGAGATGGAGATGTTTAGGTGACGAACAGATGTGGAGTTCGTTTACTCAGGCGCTCTACTCATTCAAGGTTAATCCAGAGGAAAGAAAGATGAGGAAAGGGGGGAAAAATAGCGTAAATAATAAAGAGAACTAAACTCTTTAGTATTCAGTTCTCAGGTTAAGGTTTGAAACTGCTAAGAGAGCACAAGCCCTGAAAGTCTTTTGTTAAACGGTAATTAAAAATGGAGATATTGTTTAGATGATCTCCACCATCAAAGGATGAGATGGGATCCCTTAAAGAAAACATCAGCAGGAAGTCACATCCTAGTCATGTGTGGCAGGCCTATAGGAGCATAACCATAGAGATAATAAATTCGGATATCGGCTGATCCCAATACTTTTTCAATAGCAGAGCTCTGCTGTGATTTTTATCATCACTGCTGATTTTGTTTCAAGAGGCAGCCATAAACTCCTGTCAGTGGATAAGTGTATGTATGAATGTGCACATGTACATTCATAAATTCTAAAAGGCAACTTGAGATTAATATACGGTCAGAAAAGGCAGTAATTAAAATCAGAAAATTGTTTCCAACTCTAGGGATTAAAATTTACTTCATTTAATATTAAAAAACAAATGCCTATAAAGGACTAAACTTTCCTTCTACCCAAGAGATTTTTAATTTAACTTAAACTTATTGTAGAAGTAGAACGGTACAGATATAACCCTGTGAATTGGGCCCATTTCACTAATACAGATCTAGAATTTCCTTCTACTGAAGAAAATATATTAATTTAAATGAATAATAATATAGTTAGAGATGCACAGATGTGTTACGCTGTATGAAAAATATAAAGCCTAGTCTTAAAAGTGGAAAGAGTGTCTGCTTCATGGACTAAAAGCAGAAGTTAGTTCCACAGGAGAGGAGCCTGATAAAGATCTGCTTCACATTCTGCTTTTAGAATTTCTAGAAACCTGCAGGTCGCAAGCAGAGTGCTCTGTTTAGGACATAAGGAAAACAATCAGATCTCTGAGGTCTCATGTAGCTGGATTATTTAGGGCTTTATATAAAACAAAAACAAGAATGGCTGACTTTGCTGTTCTGCTACAGTTCTGATGTAATCGCTGCTTAGTCACCGTTTCAGGTCTGATGTTCTGCTCTTTAAATGTCTTATCTTCCAGTCCAGATTTCATTGTAGTTTTTATACCCGATAAACTCATGTGGCCTCCTGACTGCTGCAGTAAAACATCCATAAAAACACCTCAGTTGGAGACAAGAGGTTGCTTTACTGTTAAATATCTGAAGTTATTACAGAGTTGGGCTTTTAACTTGGAACCTTGATTGAACATCTTCTAAGGTTCAACCTTGTTTACTTGCAAACTTTGTGGTTGTAGCAATGAATTCATTCAACCTTAGACCAGTTTTTCAAGATAATTTTTAAACGTATTGCTTTACTTTTTGTAACACTATCCCTACAGACTTCAGTGTTTATTTGATGGACAAACAGTGCAGCACATAAGTAAATTTAAAAATAAAAAATGCTGAAGTGTGGCAATCATTTGGCCTTTCCCTCGCCTCTTAACCCTCTCAGGCTCAAATTAAGTTGTAGTTGCAGGAAAAATCAGATATTTGGAGAAAATGATCATATGGGGATAGTAATATACAATTCAGACTTTTTTTTTTTTGAGAGAGACCTTCACATGCAGTGGCCGGGAGTGGTAAATTAACACTGAAGACTGAGTCTGATATGAACGTTAACTTTATTAGAATGTCACAAACAAAAAATTAACAGAACAAAATTCGGGGAAAAAAAATTCTCTCACAAAATTAGAGACATCTTTTTCTCAAACCTTTTCTCCACCAAAATCTGAAAACCTCTTGAGAAGGCTGTTTCTGTTAAATTGTTGCTCAAAATATAGGCAAACTAGTAGAAAAAGCATGTAGAATCCATTGGTACCTGTTTGGGCACACGTTGCGAATCCACAACATTGAAATCAAGATGCCTCTGGTGGAAAACCCAGAGGAGATAAAATCTACTAATTGGCATGTGTCATATCTATACCAGGGCTCGATGTTAACCGTCGCCCGATCGCCCGGGGCAAGTACTTTTTATTGTCGGGAGAGTAAAAATTTCATTGCATTTGCCCGCCGGGCAAGGGCAATGATCGCAAAAAAAAATATTTATCACTCAAAATTACTTTAAAATCACTGACATTCGCTAAAAAAACGACCCAGCTGGCGCCAGTTTTGTTGATTTGTACACATTCTCGCGTGATTTGAAAAAGCCGCGGGATTTTCCGCCAGATGGCGTGATTTTTGTCCACCTAGCGGTAATTTTGATGTAGTTACCAAAACAACAAACAAGCTAAAAGTGCTATCATATGGCAGTCTTCTGTACAGTGATGCAGGTCATACATTAAAAATTTTTCATTTAATTTCTTTTCTCTTAGACAATGTTATAGAGCTAAACATGTTAAATTGGCGACCTGTTATGTTATTATAATTGTCTTGTTGCTGCATTTATTTTGTCAGGGAAAACTAATCCTGAGGCAGTTAAAAGTCAGGAAATTCTGAAATTATGTAAGACTGTGGAAACCCTGTATAAAATAACTATGTATAATGATTCTCTAGAAAAGTCACATTATATTAATAGTATTATCTTGTATAAACATACCGTGACTCTAAAATAAGTTATTCATTTGTGACATTGATTTCTATCTTATAATTAATCTTAAATTTTTAACCTGTCAAGTTTTTTTTTTAGATTTTTATCATTACAATTTGTATTTTTCCAAGCACACAACAGTTTAAAGCAAAGTTTAGTTTGAAAAGAATGTGCAGGAAGGATTGAAAGGCATGTTAACACAGTAATGTAGGTTTGAGTTCATTATCTGACGCATGCAGATACACACCAGGAACCTGGAAACTTACTGAATTACAAAAAACATTTAAAAAAACAAACATGTTTCATTGTACAAAAATGAATATTAGGAACTATATTTATCAAAGATTATACTGGGCAAGTAAAAATTGTTTCTGGGCAAATGAAATGAGGAAGTTGGGCAAGTGGTAAAAATCCTTAACGTCAACCCCTGTATACACATTCATGATTCATCTTATGTAGTATTGATTTCAAAATAATGGAAATTGGCAGTGATACTTGCATGAAATTGGTGCATAGAAAATCTGTTTCAGTGACACCAAGGACTCAGTTTCTCTCCAGCTCACCACATGACACTGCTGACTCACTTTCAACATGGCTGTTTGTTGCAAATGCACAACTAAGTCCTTCTGTTGTACTTCTAAATAACAAAAGCTCTTAAAATATGGATGTGGAGTAATTAGCTAAGTAGCATTTAGCTGTTGCAAATCTGCAACATCTGCCTGGAGAGGGTTAATAACACACTTTATATGCTTAAGAAATGCAAATCGACCCCAGCTTAAACTCTTTTGCCTCCTCAAACAGGTTTTCTTCCAGGTCTGTTTTCCCTTTATAGATCATCTCGCTCGAACTGTAGATCTCTGCAGCTTCTCTTAGGTTCCTCTCAGGCTTCCTTCTGTTTATTCCTCTCCCTAACCTGCATGCAAAATCATTAGTTACCTTATATAAACAGTATCAATGTTAAATTTTGTTCTGTTTTAAAGCAATTTATTTTAGTTTGATTTTAGTTCTGCTTTATAATTCTCAAATTTAAGTTTGAGGCTGTAGAAGAAAATCTAAAGGCTTCTGCTAAATTAAATCAGGCTGCATAAAAGTGCTGAGTAATGTCGAGCTTAGGAGTCAAACACAAGATGCTACATATTGGAGAACGACCTTTAAACCATCTGTTGTTGGTTTTATTTTTAAAGGTTTTTCAGGCGAATCTTGAGAGCTATTATGTTTCATCGGTTCTCAGCTTGCATCAATAATGCACTGCTCTAAAAATAGATCAGTGTTTAACCTTTATCAGTGCTGGGAAAATTCAACCACAGCAGTAAGCTAAGTGAACTGGGGACTGAAACATTTGACATTGATTTTTAATGTTTATTTAAAGATTTTATGTAGAAACTGGATAAAATGTACTCGGTCTAATCCTTCAGATAAGAATTCATGGACATATATTTCTGTTCAATCCTGGTTATTAACTTCCCGTATGCAATGTAAATGTTTAAAGTATTTTTTCTTTGTTTATTTGGGTGAATTTTATCTATAATTCTTCTTTTTTCCTGTTTATAGGAGTTCTTGCTGCTGGATGAGATAAAAAAAACCAGCACTGTTCTGTCAAAGGAGGAGAAGGAGGATACTGGTGTGGAGATTAATGATCTTACCTGCTACTGGGACAAGGTTAGATTCCTAAAACTCTTCCTTGATCTGCTCTCAGTGTAGCTTAAAGCACCATAGTCAGGTAATGTGCCTATATAGGAAAAACTAGATCCCATTTTATCATGAAAAAGTAAAGTTATATACACTAAGGCTTGGTCCTTATAGTGTTTAGTCCTTTTTAATGAAGCAGTGGGTGACAAAAAACAATCACTGCGCCATCTACCTGCAGTACCAAAGAACTATTAAAGAGCCATGTGGCCACTATTAAATAGAACTGGACCGTCCTGCAATGCCTCACTGTAAAAAAACAGCTTGCTGGGGTAAAAGACCAACAGATATGAATGAAATAAGCCGATTTACAGCAGCTGTAAGGTTTAGTGAATCCTTCCCAAAGCCTCATTTAACATCAAGTGGAAAGAAACTTCATCCATCAAACCTAATCTAATTTATCTATTTGTTATAACATTGCTATCGCTTCAGTGTCTGTAAGGAAGGAGTTATTCACATCCATCAACTCTACTCAACACCTCTGAAGCTTTAACTTTCACTTCTTTAACCTCTCTAAGACAACCAGCAACCCAGTGGATGTTAAGTGTGGTAATAACTCAGAATGCAAAAAATTCCACCGGTAATATCTTACCAATATAGACATCTTGGACATCATTGGAAAGCTTAGATTCTCCACAATATAACCACCAACGCACAGATAAAACAGATATAGTAGCTTGCCAAAATGTAAACAAAGCAGCCACAGCTACATACCTTTGAAGGCGTCCATAAACCGTTTTATAAATCCAGTCTTCAATTGTTTATACTCCATTCATCCATAACAGTGCACAGATTAAAAGTAATCCAGCATATTAGTAATAAAAATATTCCATGATGAGAAAATCGTCCCTAACGTCCGGTTGTTGACATCAGAGAAGTTAGCTTGTTCTCAGCATCTTGCAAATATTTACTTTTAATACTTATTTCCTTGGTTGTTAGCCCGCGATATTTGGTATGGTTCTTTACATCGTCTTCTTATCTACAACACAAAAGTGTCTGCATATTTTTATGACGCGATTTCAGCAAGATATAAGTCCCCGAAATCTCAGCCAGTGTTGCGCGATATGACGCGTTATTATTCTCTATTATTGGTTAAAACCACGTAGGGTGTTGGGCTTTGTAGCCAAAAAATAAGCTTTCGAACGAAAGTGTGTAGTTTATTTAAAGGGGTACTGCATTATAGGCTTGTGTTAAAGAGAAAAACAGACAACAGCAGTTGGAGCCATTGTGCGCCGCTCCAAGCTGACACCAAATGTTCAAAACCCCACAGCTCAAGAATGTCTTTATTACCGCTGTTCAAAAAAAGACTTATCATTGCCGAGAATAAAACAACAGCTTTGAGTCATGTTTGAATTGATGCAGCTTGATCTGTGTTCTACTCACCCAATTTTAAACTAGAGGACGTTAGCTTTCAAATAATGTATTGCTCATGTAATTTGGGCTTACAGTTCCTAAGGTATTTGCTTTTCCATTTGGGTATGAAAAGGATTACCCAAAATGAGGTGGATGTTAGGAGGTTAAACACTGACATTCACTCTGTATTCCAGTTTTATCCCTCTTGGAATCAAATAGTATTTAGCATTATTCCCACTGAATCTTGGTCCTAGCTTAGAGTTGCTAACTGGCTAGCCTTACTAATCTGCTTCATTTTTCACCCCTTTGTGAACCTTCATTTAGTAACAAACTGAGCAAAACGAAGGCACATAACACAAAAATAAAAAGAAATACACCAGCAGGACGTTATCTTTCAGAAAAAAAACTTTGTATGCAACCAGAGTGAGCTACTAGGCGTATTTGTGAAAAATAAAGTCACATAAGTAGACTGTGCTGATTAAGATGGACTGGGATGAAGTTAGCCAATATAACAAAGTTGTTTTTCCTCCAGAATTTAGATGCTCCGACTTTGCAGAACATCTCCCTTTCCCTGGACTCTAATCGGTTGTTGGCTGTTATTGGACCAGTTGGAGCTGGAAAGGTGAGTTTTTTTTTTCTCCTTTGATTTTCAGTGCTGTAAGGAAGTATTGGCTTCCTGCTTGTTTGTCGTGGTGTGGCTGTAAATAGGCCTGGGTCAGACTATTGAAACACTATTAATTAATGATTTAAGCAATTAGATTTTCCTGTTGGACCAGGTTTGAAAAGCTTCACCCTAAATTAAAGTTTTTAGATAATCTCAGGTTGTTTTTGTTTAATATTGAATGTTTCAGTTCCTTAAAAAAGAAAGAAGTCTGTTGGTGGGAAAATACTGTCTCCCAGCACTGTAGGTAGTATAGAGTCATCATACGGCTCCTGACATGCTTGCGTTTGTATTTTCTCTCAGTCTTCGCTGTTGAGCTCAATCCTGGGTGAGCTCCCTTCAGAGAAAGGGGACCTGAGAGTCAGAGGTCAGCTGACCTACGCAGCTCAGCAGCCCTGGGTGTTTCCTGGAACCATTCGCAGCAACATCTTGTTCGGAAAAGATCTAGAACCTCAGAAGTATGAAAGAGTCATCAAAGCTTGTGCTCTGAAAAGGGTGAGGTTTATTTTTTCTATTACACTTATTCAATTCAATTCAGTTTATTTCTATAGTGCCGATTCATACCACATGTCATCTCAAGGCCCTTTACAGTTCACCTGATCATCCAGTCAAATTGATTCAAAGTTTTCTATCTAAGGAAAACCAGTTGATATCATCGGCTCTTTGACTCAAATGCAATCCCTGACACTAAGCATGCTTGTAGCGACAGTGGAGAGGAAAAACTCCCTTTTAACAGGAAGAAACCTCCAGCAGAACCAGGCTCAGTGTGAGCGTCCATCTACCGAGTCCGACTGGGTTTCAAGGAAACAGAAGCAGAGATACAAAAACTGAGACTCATTGTTTCAAATCAATGCACTTTTTTGTATATAAATTATTATTAAAGGCTTTATTTCTACTTTTAATATACTTAAAACCTTTTATTTAAATGACTTATTGAGGAGTAAAAGGAAATTATTTTAATAATTTATGTTTGCATAATAAAGTGAAAGCATTTTAATTGTTTCTTTAGAAAGCTGCCAACTTTCCCTGGATGATACATCTGTAGCTATTTGATGTGTCATGTTGTCTTTTTGATTTCGCTCAAGATAATAATATTCTAGATATTTTAGTTTCCTGTTTTTTTTTTTTTTTTTTTTTGAGTCGATTGCTTAAAACCTAAATGGCTTCAGTTTTCTATTTAAAAAAAAAAAAAAAAAAAAAAAAAAGAACGGCATGTTGAAACCAGAGCTGCTCATATGTAAAAATAACTTCATTGCTTTTTAACCTTTTAAAAGTGATACATTTAGCCCCAGACTCTTCCCACTGAAGTCTGTTGGGTTGTTAATGTTTACTATCCTGATTAATGAGTTAGCATGGATAGCCATGAAGGTCCTAAATGAATTGTATAACCTTTGACTTGCTATTTATCTACCTGTCTGTGTTTCATATGAAGGTCAGCCTTTCAGCTGCTGAGTCATTGTGTTGTAATCTGTTTCTAACTGCCAGATTAACCTGTTTACGTTCATCATCTTTACAATTTCAGACAATGTTGACAACAAGTGATATTGAAGTCCTCAGTGGTTTAATATAAGCTGCGTTTATGTGTAGGACCTGGAGCTGCTCCCAGACGGGGATCTGACTGTGATCGGGGACAGAGGGGCCACGCTCAGCGGGGGACAAAAAGCCCGAGTCAACCTGGCCAGGTCAGGCTGCAGCCATGGAAAAAAAAAAAACATTACAACCACAATATAACCGTTAATATTTTCTTGTGATTTTATGTGGTTGATCAACACAAAGTTGTGCATGATTACAGGTTAAAAGAATAGTATTCAAAATTGAAATGTCTTTGTTATGCTGGTGAAGATTCTTAGTCATCCAGGTCATAGTCATTCAAAATAGAGTAAAAAAAAAAATCTGCTGGACTTTGTTTCAAGTTTGAAGATGTTTCGCTTCCCATCCAGGAAGATTTTTCAATTCAAAATGTCAGGAATAGCGTTGAGTTTGCGGTTTTATACGGTAGTTGTACAGTAGTGAGTTGATCCCTTCCCGCTATCATCGCAACGCCAACCCCTGTACAGGAGAGCAGAAGACCTCGCCTGTTCAGCCAGGCCAACAATTCCCTTATCAACCCCCCCTTTCAGAGACTCAGGCAGGAATGGGGCATTGCAGGCTAACAAAAGAAGCCAAACGACCTCCATTCCAAAGGGGACCCGTTCGTCTGTTTCAATTTGCATGTTTTCAAAACAAAAACAAGGTTTTTATGGGCTACTGTATAAAACCTCAAACTCAACGCTATTCCTGACATTTTGAGTTAAAGAAGCTTCCTGGATGGGAATCGAAACGTCTTCAAACTTGGAAACAAAGTCCAGTGGATTGTTTTTTACGCTTTGTGTTCAGCTCCATATTTTCTGAAGAAGACAATCCAGAGCTACGGTTTTTAGAAATCCAGTCGAGTTGTTGAACTTTCGTAAGAGATCTGCACAAGTTTGGCAGATAAACGTCAAAGTCGTGCTAAATGGCGCGAGTTTGTGGCGCAGCTTTCCACTGGATCAGGAATGCGTTCAGGTCGATGTAGTCTCTTTTTATCTTTTCACAAACTTGTCTTGCATGTCATGACGGACATGGTTGTGACGTTCTTCTGGAAACTCAAGGCAAATCTACGACCAATGTCCATTCAGACTTATCCACCTGAGCTTCAGATGCCTGCAGTTCCTCCAGAGATGCTGTGGCCATCTTTACACTCAAGTTTAGTTGAATGATCACATTTGACAGGTTTACTGTAATATTACTGTTGAAATGACGGCTTGAGTCATCCTCTGAGGGATGTTAAAAGCTTTGGATAAGAGCTGCAAAATACAGCATCATAAAGAGTTTATGACAAAATTAAAACGATATGAGGAAGTCATTGAGAAAGTATAAAGTTATTTATTTGCCAAACCGTTCTGCCAAACCGTAAAACGTTCTATTTCATCCCTACTGACCGCCAGAGGGCGGTGCTGAAAGCACTGAATGTTCCCTTCGGGCATGCGCAGTTCGAGTAATTATACCAACAGAGTCACACCTGTGACACCGGATGACCACTCAGAAGCTATATAGCCTGGTGTCATCCTTTGCTCTGCTCCTTTTTTCTTCTCGCAAGCGGTTCGCTAACTTCCCCGTTGTCTGAAGCCCCTGTCTCTTGACCGGAGTTGCGGTTATTCTCCGCCCTCCCAGGGCTGCAACGGGTCGATTCTGAGGATTACGGAAGGTAAGTGAGTTGTTTGCTGGTGATGGTAGCGTCCGCGCCCCCTCTCCCGGCTCACGACTTTAGCTTTTTACCTACAGCTTTGTGCTGTTTTGTTTCGAACTGGTGACGGCAGCGTTTTCGCCCCTACTCCCAGTGTGAATAACTTCACTGCCGAAGTTATATACGGCTAACGTAGTTAGCTTCTTTAGTTTGTTGGTGTTATACCTGGTGACGGCAGCGGTTCTCGCCCCCTCTCCCAGTATCGGCTGCCTTGTGCTCGCAGCCTCTTTCGTTTCTCTGCTGTAATTGGTGACGGCTGCGTTTGCGCCCCCTCTCCCGATTTTCGATAACTTTCTGTTCTTTAAGCCTTGTCGGCCTTCGACATGGATGGCTCTCACAGCTGCATGGATTGTGGGGCTGCCCTGCAGGCAGAGGATGGCCACGACCTGTGCCCTACCTGCCTTGGACATGAGCACCTTTTGGAGGCGCTGTCTGAGAACCCCTGTATGAACTGCAGCTTTATGCCCCATGCAGTGAGGGTGGCCCGGTTGGCCCAGTTGTGCCCCCAGGAGGGCTCGGACCTTCCGCCCTCTGGGCAGGTGGTTCTCCCCAAGCGTTCTAAGCGCCGTGGTGGGACCACAGCATCTGTGCCCCTCCCCCGGAGGAAGCGGGCCAAACCTGACCAGGGCCTGTCCACAAGGGTGGAGCAGTTGTCAGCAGAGCTGGCAGAGATGAAGTCCTTGTTGCAGACACGGCAATCTGATCCCTCGCTCCCAGTGGTTGGGCTCTCTTCCCCACCAATGCCCGAGCTGGTTGTAGAGGATGACGTTATCTCTCTGGCTGCTTCCGCTTCTCATTTTAGAGATGAGGAGGAGGCAGGGTCCTCTCAAGCCTCTGAGGCTGGTTCATTTTCATCTCAGAGTGCGGTTGGAGAGGCCGGTGACGGTTCCATGCGGGAGGTCATGTCTATGGCCCTGAAGCAGCTGCAGCTGGAACTCCCACAAGGAGTGGCATCCAGCTCCGGCAGTGCCTTTTTCAGACGTGGAAGGGCTCCTACTCCTTTTTCTGTACCTCCATCAGAGGAGTACTTGAAGGAGTTACACGCCTGTTGGCGGGAACCGAGAGCGCTGTCGCGCCTCTCCTCGGATGGTCGTGTATTAGCTGCCATTCATGAGTCGGTGAAGGCCGGCCTAGACCGTATGCCAGCAATTGAACCAGCTGTTGCTTCACTGATTGTGTCACCAGATGAAGCCCTGCGTCCTGATGTCCGGTGCCCGCGGACTCGATGTCGGGTTACAGATGACCTCCTCTGTAAGGCGTACAATGCAGGAGCGCGTGCTGGCCCTGGCAATTCTCTGGCGCACCTCATGTTTGCCCTGTCTGCATCTGTTCAGGACACTGGTGGTGCAAGTGCGGCGGTTGGTTATAGTGACGCAGCGCTGCAGGCCTTCGCGCTGATGACCAGAGAGCTTGGACGGGTCATGTCTTTCCTTGTCCAAGCTCGTAGACAGGTCTGGTTGGCACAATCTCCTCTGACTGAAGCATGCCGTAGGACCCTCAGGGGTGTCCCGGTTGTACCAGGGGAGCTGTTTGGATCAGCTGCCTTGGAGGCGCTGGAACGGACTGCTCAGGCACGTCAGACTAGCCAGCAGCTTTCCGGCCTTCGCAGGAGCATACCTGCCTTTCCCCAGCGTTCGGGCCGCCCTGCCACTACCCCCAGCGTTCAGCCACGACCTCAGACTGGTGGCAGACCTGTTGGTTCCTGTCCCCATGATGTGCAGCAGAGACCGAGGAGGGACTTTCGTGAGCCAGTCTGCCGCCCTGTTAGACAGACCCGGGCCTCAAATCCTGGACGCCCTCCCCCCAGGGCCCCCAGGGGCCGTGGGGATAGAAGATGATGCCACCGGGCCAGCCGTCGAACATTCGGGCTGCTCATGCCGTAGATCCATGGGTGGTTGCCACCTTAACCAATGGCTACAGGCTCCAGTTCCGACGGCGGCCCCCCCTCTCACACCGGGTCAAGATGACTGTCATCACAGACCCGGTGAAATCTCAGGCACTAGACCAGGAGCTTTCCGCCCTCCTGGGCAAGGGGGCAATCGAGTCTGTAGATCCTCTGCGGCAACCCAGAGCTACTACTCCACATACTTCCTTGTGGCCAAGAAGACCGGCGGTTTTCGCCCCATTTTAGATCTAAGGGGACTGAATCGGTACCTGAAGGTCCTTCCCTTCCACATGCTCACCATAACAGAGGTCCTTCAGACCATTGTGGCGGGAGATTGGTTTACATCAGTAGATCTGACAGACGCCTACTTTCACGTGCCTATTGCGGCAGAACATCGCCGTTTTCTCAGGTTTGCATATCGGGGGCGCCATTGGCAATTCCGGGTGCTCCCATTCGGGCTCTCCCTTTCCCCGAGGGTGTTTACTCGATGCGTGAAAGCAGCCCTCTCTCCTCTACAGGCCTCCGGAGTCAGGATTCTGCCATACCTGGACGATTGGTTTCTTTGTGCTCCCTCTCAGGTAGCTGCCTCTCGGGATACGTCCCAGCTTCTACTTCATGTGTCACTGTTAGGCCTCAAAGTCAACTTGGCAAAGAGTTGTCTTGTTCCATCTCAGACAACCACCTTTCTTGGGATGCATCTGGACTCTGCTACCATGATGGCCCGTCCATCTGTTCACAGGGTGGACGACATACTCCAGCTTGTCCGTCGATTCAGACTGGGCAGGGAGTTTCCCTACATCATCTTCCTGCGAATGCTGGGCAAACTGACATCAGTCACTCGTGTCGTGCCCTTAGGGCTGCTCCTTCTGCGTCCTTTGCAGCGATGGCTCAACAGCTTTCGCCTAGACGCCAGGCTGCACAGGCATCGCAGGCTAATGGTGACCAGGAGCTGCCTCCATGCCCTAGCTCCTTGGCGAGACGGGACCCTTTTGTCCAGTGGTGTTTTCCTATGGGGCTAGTAGTGTGTCGAAGGGAGGTGGTCACCACGGATGCCAGCCTCATGGGCTTGGGTGCCGTGTGGCAACACAGAGCTGTTCAGGGTCTTTGGGACCCAAGGGAGCGCACCGAACACATAAATGTGCTGGAGCTGCGGGCTGTGCACATGGCCCTCAGGTGCCTTCTGCCCCACCTAGAGGGAAGGCACGTGCTGATTCGGACAGACAACACCTCTGTTGTTTATCATATAAACCACCAAGGTGGCACCAGGTCAGCACGTCTCTTGAAGGTGTCGAGGGATCTCCTGGAATGGGCGTTTCCCCGTCTGTGTACCCTGCGCGCAGCGTATCTGCCAGGACGGCAGAACCAGGTTGCGGACTCTCTATCCCGCCAGGCACCTGCTCCGAGAGAGTGGTCTCTTCACCGCGACGTAGTGCGCATAATCTGGAACCTCTTTGGGCAGGCAGAGGTAGATCTGTTCGCCACAGAGGAGTCGACCCATTGCCCCCTATGGTATTCCCTAACCGGGATGGCGGGCGCACTGGGCCAGGATGCACTGGCTCATCCATGGCCGCAGGTTCTCCTGTATGCCTTTCCACCCCTCTCACTGATTTGGCCGACTCTACGGAGGGTTCTCGAGCAGGGCCACAGAGTGTTGCTGGCAGCTCCGTTCTGGCCAGCGCGGCCGTGGTTCCCGCTGCTTTGGAGTCTGTGTCACGGTACTCCATGGCGTCTTCCAGCAAGGAGGGATCTGCTGTCTCAGTTGGGGGGACAGATATGGCACCCCAACCCTCAACGTCTCCAGCTGTGGGCATGGCCCCTGGGAGGCTGACTGGGTGTTCAGACACCGTGAGACACACCGTATTGAGTGCTAGGGCTTCCTCCACTCGGCTGCAGTATGCTAACAGATGGCGCCTCTTTTCTCAGTGGTGCTCTGCCCACAATGAGAACCCAGTTTCCTGCTCGGTGCCCACTATTTTGGAGTTCCTCCAGTCTCTCCTTGATAAGGGCCGCTCTCCTTCGACCCTTAAAGTGTATGTTGCAGCAATTTCATGTCTTCACCGAACTGTGGACAACCGTACAGTGGGGCGCCATGAACTGGTTTCACTTTTTCTGCGTGGTGCTCGTAGGTTGTGCCAGCAGCCAGCCCCACGAGCCCCAGATTGGGATCTGCCGTTGGTTCTCACAGCTCTGTGCCACCCTCCATTCGACCCTTTGGCACAAGCAGAACTCAAGTGGCTTTCCTGCAAGACTGCTTTCCTGATGGCTATCGTCTCAGCTAAGAGGGTCAGCGAGCTACATGCTCTTTCTGTCAGCCCTAGGTGTATCAGGTGGAATCCAGATGGCTCTGGTGTTACCGTGTGGCCTAATACTGCGTTTGTGCCTAAGGTGTTGTCTCCTTTTCACCGTAACCAGCCATTGCGGCTGGCTCGGTTTCAGCCTCAATCTGGTACAACTGAGAATGAGTCTGAGTTGTTGTGCCCAGTAAGAGCGTTGGAGGCATACATTGCAGCCACCGCCAATCTGAGACGCTCGGACCAGCTTTTCCTATGCTATGGGGGTCCAAGGTTAGGCTGTCCTCTTTCTAAACAGCGTCTGTCCCATTGGATTGTGAGGGTCATCTGCCACGCCTACGCTGCAGGTCACTGCTCCCTGCCAGTCGGTGTGAGAGTACATTCCACCAGGAGCGTCACCGCTTCCTGGGCTGCTTTGAGAGGGGTTCCGCCGGAAGCTATATGTGCTGCTGCTTCATGGGCTTCCCCAACCACCTTCACCAGGTTCTACAGTGTCAATGTGGCTGCCCCTCATCCCCTGGGTCAGGTCCTTTTACAAGGTTCTGCTGGGCCTCCTCTGTGAGGTATGTGCTCAGGATTCCTTGTGACATCGTTGGCATTAGTCATTCAGTGCTTTCAGCACCGCCCTCTGGCGGTCAGTAGGGATGAAATAGAACGAAAGTTACGTATGTAACTACGGTTCTATGAATCCCGGATGACCGCCAGAGCTTCTCTGTCACTCAGAATCCTTGCTTTTGCGAGAAGATTCTGTAGGAGCAGAGCAAAGGATGACACCAGGCTATATAGCTTCTGAGTGGTCATCCGGTGTCACAGGTGTGACTCTGTTGGTATAATTACTCGAACTGCGCATGCCCGAAGGGAACATTCAGTGCTTTCAGCACCGCCCTCTGGCGGTCATCCGGGATTCATAGAACCGTAGTTACATACATAACTTTCGTTTTATGTATCCTCCTGTAGGTTCCAGGATCACCACCTTGAGTTTTTTATATTAACATTATTTATCCATCCAAGACAAATTTTCAGTATTGGTGCATATTTTATAAAACTGCACCGTCCTGTATTGGGTGTTCAGGGCTCGATGTTAACCATCGCCCGATCGCCTGGGGCAAGTAGTTTTTATTGTCGGGAGAGTAAAAATTTCATTGCATTTGCCCGCCGGGCAAGTGCAATGATTGCAAAAAAAAAAAATTATTTGTCACTCAAAATAACTTTAAAATCACCGGCATTCGCTGGAGTGGTGCATTTAAATGTTATAGAGCTAAACACGTTAAATTGTTGAGTAGTAGTAGTGTAAGTTTTTAACCTGTCTAGTTTTTTTTGATTTTTAACATTACAATTTATATTTTTCCAAGCACACAACAGTTTAAAGCAAAGTTTAGTTTGAAAAGAATGTGCAGGAAGGATTGAAAAGCATGTTAACACAGTAATGTAGGCTTGAGTTCATTATCTGATGCATGCATATACACACCAGGAACCTGGAAACTTACTGAATTACAAAAAAAAACATAAAAAAACAAACATGTTTCATTGATATATATACAAAAATGAATATTAGGAAATATATTTATAAAACATTATACTGGGCAAGTAAAAATTGTTTCTGGGCAGATGAAATGTAAAAGCCACTTGCCCTTTCGGCAACTGGTAAAAATCCTTAACGTTAATTCCTGGGTGTTGTTTTATAAACGAACCCTTTATTGAAGTGTGCGTCTTTCTCCCTAAGTGGTTTGCTCCATTTCACGGCCTTCGTCACTGTTTATTCGTTCGTGTTCCAATGAAGCCTTCACAGATTATCTGCTCTTATTCTGAGCATATTTTCCTTGTAGGCTTCTTCTTACTTTGTGCCGCTTCATCACAGAAAAGGTTAATAATGTGAATTTTGCAGCTTCTGAGTGATATAATGTGATTTAATGTTGAAATGTTTCTTGTATTACTGAGACTCATCCTGAAATTAGAGAGGAGTGACATTTCTCCATTCTAAAACTATGTTTTTGTTTCAGGGCTGTATATCAGGATTCAGACATTTACCTCCTGGATGATCCTTTAAGTGCTGTGGACGCCGAGGTTGGCAGACACCTCTTTGAACAGTGAGTCCTATCCAGTCTGTTCAGCTGTTTTCCCTTTAAGCCTCCAATAATCAGGACGATGGATTCGCAGGACAATGAACTTCCCAGACGGGAAAGAGCTAGAGGAAGTCTCTGAACATGATGTAACTGTAGTGTTTGTCTTTTATTGGGTTCTTGAAGGTCTTGGCTATTGTTTAGCTAAAGTACTTAAAGCCTTTTTTATTTTTTTTGCAACTCTGACCAGAAAACAATACTTGAATGCAGCCTGTTCTGGTTAGTGAGTAAAAATATACTTATTTAATCTAAAATCGAAAGAATTTCCCCTTTGAAAGGAGTGGAAAAAAAAGATGACTGGCAAGGATGAATAAATACGTTTCCTATGCTTTAGATTAGTGCTTGAATTAAATGGTAAATATGTTGTTAGTAACCCATAAACCCATTAAGGGTTTAATCCTTTTCTTGTCTAATTATGGCTTCCTGTTTGTGTCTATCAGGTGTATCTGTGGGGCTCTGAAGGGCAAACCTCGTATCCTGGTTACCCACCAGCTGCAGTACCTGAAGGCGGCAGACGAGATTCTAGTCCTCAAAGAGGTTCGTTTGGATTTTGTTTCTTTTTTGCATATTTGCTCTCTGCATGAAACCTGTCCTGTTTGACTCCTGTTCATCTGCACCAGTTATTTGACTCTGGATTGACAGAGGAATAGATTTAAAAGCCTGGATCTGTGATGTAAAAAGAAAAGCATCTGTAAAATAAGGCTTAGGATCTGTGAGGTGATCAGGGCTTGAAGGGAAGCTTAGCAGTTTTGGAAAATAAGGTTGACATGTTTTGTTGAGAGTTTCAAAGCAGCTTTTAAATGTGAACCTTATTGACGGCTGAGATGTTTGCAAACATCTAACCTGGTTGGTAGATTTATCTGAGCTCAAACCGACCCCTGACCTTTTCCTCCCGTCTGTGGGTCAGATTTGTTTGCATGTTTTAAACTGAAAGCTTTTGAACCCACAGCCTCATTACCTCATTAAGGCCGCCTGCTGGTTAATGTTGATTATTCCTCCACTTTCCTCTTAAACCCAGCTGTGGGTGGACGGCGTCCAATAAATAGAGAAGCTTGTTTTTGGTGGTTTATCCTTAGCCTGATGTCTGGAAAAGACGCGCCTGTATCGATTACAGTTGGAGTTACAGGGCCAGGATAATATTTCATACTCTTTGTAGATTTTTCAGATTTCCATTAAAATGAATCAGTTGCCATGAAGCTATTTGCCTTCAGCAGCTGCCTGTTAGTTTATAGAGTCCATGTGGGTGTTGTTTATGCTCCATATAAATTCAGCTGGTTTTGGAGGCCTTGGCTCTCTGCTGAACTATAGTGACCCACAGAAACTATATACCAAGGAACATGGCAGACAGATAAGGATAAAAGTTGTGGATTTTAGTGCAGTAAAACACAGCCAGTAAAACACAGTGTTGGCAGCAGCATGCTGTGGTATAAAAGGAAACCCTGTCTGTCTAAAAGAGCATTTAAACAGGACCAAGGTTCCGCTTCTAGCTGGATAACAGCTAGAACCAAAGTCCCCATCAAAGTCCAGACCGAGGTTTACTTAGAATCTGTTGCAAAATATGGAAAAAGTTGTTCACAGAAGCAGATCAGCTAACATTTCTGACCCTGGATGTTTAAAGATTACAAATTCCAAAGGATCTAAAGCTTTTTTGCACCAACTTTCCTACCTGCTTTGTTTCTCATCTCCTAGATGGTTAAAGAAAAGCGTTAACATGCTGATATGTTTCCACTGTGTTTTATCAGGGTCACTTGGTGGCGAAAGGACCCTACAACGAGCTGCAGCGCTCTGGGGTGGACTTCACTTCCCTGCTAAAGAAGGAAGAGGAAGAAGATCAGCAGCAAATACCTCCTCAAGATGTTCCTGCTAGGATCAGAACTCTGTCCCAGAACTCGACTCTCTCCCATACCTCCTCGGTTCATTCGGTCAAAGATGGAGACCATTTACCGGTTTGTGGTTATAAATGTCCAGAACAAAAGGGAGAGCTGTGAGCAGCTTGTCCACATTAGCTATTGTTTAGTTACACAGAGTCCTCTAATGACTTTGGTTTCGTTTCACCATAAAACAGACTTTAAGCTTAAATGTGAGTTAGAACACAGGTTTTATGCAAATCTTAATTGGATAGAGAATTTAATCCTTTGACCTCAACTAATGTTGAGAGATAAATGTTAATTATCTGGGAGGGCGTTGTTTTCAACATGGCAGCCTCTAATTCAAAAATATATATCTTTAATTTCAGATCCTCTTTTCGTTTGGTCAGATGGTTTGAGTCATTTCTGCATGTCTCATGTTATCCACGAGACTTCCTCTAAATTTGCTCATTGAACTCTTGCTTATTTAACTTTTTTCTTTCCCTTTTTTATAATCTAAACTTTATTTTACTAGTAAGGTACAATTAAGATTAAAAAATGTATCTTTAAACAGAGTCGAGATGGATCAAATAACATCACAATTTCATTAAACTAATCAAGATACATCATCAAAACAACATTCAGTAACTATCCTGCACAAGGACGTGAGGCACGTTGAACAGGTCGCTAGTCTGTTGCAAGGCAACATGGAGACATACAACCATGCACACGCTCTGACCTAATTATTTAGCCTAACAGTCATGTTTTTGAACCGAGAGAGGAAGCCAGAGTACGGGGGGGAACCCATTCATGCACAGAGAGAACATGCAAACTACATGCTGAGAGAACCTGAAACGTTGTTGCTGCAAGGCATGATTTTTCTTTCATGTAGGGCCAATCAAACCGTACACATCGTTATTTCACTTTTTTTCCCACTCTGTTAAATATAGATTGATGATTAGTAAATAAAAATGATTAATAGTGTTCTCAATAATCGTTGGAATAACTCTTTTTGCGTCACACCGGTCAAATTTTTCTTTTAACCACCAACCAGCTTTTCTGCTCGTTTCTACAGATTTGGACGGTGGTGCTGTCATTAGCACTGCCTTCTTACAGAACGAAAGTCTGATCCTGTCTTTGGGTCTTTCTGCATGGACTTTGCCTGTTCTCATTCAGGTCTGGGTTTATCAACAGGTACTGGGGCTAGAATAAAGCATAAAAAAGTTTGAGACATCGTGGTGATGGGAAAGGAGAGAAATGTGGAAAATGAGCAGATGATTCAGACATTGCTGTATTCGTTTAGAGTGGTGTGCTGTTTTTGGGTGTGCAGCCATGTTAAGAGCAACTCCAAACATCAAAAAACAATCTACTGCACTTTGTTTCAAAAATTGAAAAGTTTCGCTTCCCATCCAGGAAGATTTTCAGTTCAGAATGTCAAGAATAGCGTTGAAACGACGCCTTGTTTTGGCTTTGAAACGTGCAAATTGAACCGGACGAACAGGTCCGCCCCTTAGGAATGGGTCGTCCTTTGGCTCCTTTGTTATCCTGCAATATATACCTGTCTATGTCTCTGAAAGGGGGGTCGTTAGAGGGAATTGCTGGCCTGGCTGAATAGGTGAGGTGTTCTGTACTCCTTTATGGGGGTGGGGGTTGCAATGAAAGCAGGAACCCTACTAGAGTTTTCATATATTATGCAGTTGACAAGTTGAGGATGGTGTAGCTGCAAAACACTGATTTTTATTTTTTTTTTTTATTGTAATGTCCCCTTGCAGGCAGAAGCAGTGCAAACGGTACCAGAGGAGACTCGAGCTCAAGGAACCATTGGACTGAAACTCTACCTGAAATACCTGCAATCTGGAGCAAACATTTTGGTTCTAATCTTTGTTTTTGTGCTTAACCTCCTGGCTCAGGTACATAAAGAAAACTTTGCTTGTTTAATTATCTCAATATAACCTGTAAATAATCAATATATTCTGTTTTTAGGTATCATATGTCATGAATGACTGGTGGCTGGCCTACTGGTAAGGATGTTTGTGACTACAGGTTTAGACGGCTACTCTTACATTTTATCTGAAATCGTCTTATTGTGACTGATCAGGGCAGGACAGCAAGACAAGCTAACCAGCAGCATCAACAGCAGCATGGCTGTAAACGGATCCAATGTGACCGAGTTGGATTTAGATTTCTACCTCGGTGTTTATGGAGGTAATCTGACTGCGCGTCCCAGCATGCTCGTTTAAAGGTTTTCCTTGCTTCTGCTGAACCTTATTTTTATTTATTTTTCCCAGGTTTAACTGCATCCACCATCCTGTTTGGGTTCATGAGAAACATCATCTTGTTTACGGTTTTGGTGAAATCTGCTCAGAGCCTCCATAACAGCATGTTTAACGCCATCCTCAGAGCTCCTGTACGCTTCTTTGACATAAACCCCATCGGTGAGCGATTCTGTCCTCGCGTTCAAAGATGACCTCATGTAGCGTTGGCTCTAGACTAAACGCTCTCATGTTTTATCGCTTCAGGAAGAGTGTTGAACAGGTTTTCCAAGGACATCGGTCAGGTGGACAACATGCTGCCTTGGACATTTACAGACTTAATTCAGGTGAGGACCGATAGCACGTTGAATAAACTAGTGAAAATCACCAGCTCTGGTTACATTTCTAGCTTCTTTTAGGTATAATGATTTGTTAAATTATTCACACCCCTTAGAACCAAGTCAGCGAAACGCATGCAAAAACCAATGGTTAAATGTTTGCAAATACTGACATATGTGCTTACATTATTCTCAATTTAAACAAGTTATTTTTTTATGGACATAACTCGCCTCAAAGCACAATGAATAAAGATATAGCAGCATGCTAAAACATAAATATGAAGAGCATATACAGGGTTCCCGCGGGTGCTTAAAAAGTCTTAAAAGGCATTGAATTCTTCAAAATAAAATTAAGGCCTTAATTGGTATTAAAATGTCTTAAATCAGTCTTTCGTAGGTCTTAATTTTTAAAACATCATAAATAGGATCATTTTTATTCCGATGTATTTTTGTAATCTAAATACAACTTTAAAATCGACAATTTTTTTTATTTAAAAAAAAATAACGACTCGCCATTATTGGTTCCGCCCCGATAGCGGAACCAATAAAGGCGTTGTTTCAGCCGGGACATTTGGGAGATGCACCATTAACTTTTTGTCTGGAAAATATGAGCAAGTGTAAATGTAACAAAATTTTGGTATCCAGCCAAGAGTTTTCTCCATGGCTAAAACCAGGGAACATACATGTATTTTGTGCAAGAAGTCATTTAAGCTCGGAACGATGGGAATTAAGGCAGTGGAGTCGCACATTCGAAGCGCGAAACACAAAGCGTCATAATCGAGTTACCGAGAAACAGCCGGTATTTCTCGGTTTTGTTCCACCCTTGTCTCTGCAACGCCTCCACTTATCACCAAATCAAACATACTAAGAAAACGATACAAAGAAAAATAGCTGCAAAAAAGACTTAGCACTGGTTATGTTGTGGCTTTAAAACTGATGTTTTGTTACCTTCTAAAACAAGGTTTGTGAATTCAGTTAATTATTAAAATATATCTGTCATTTGTGTGTTTTTAGCTTTCTTCCTTTATGGGAAGCTTTTCAAAATTCGAAAAAGTGCAGTGGTTTATGTTAAAATAAACCTTTGGGTTAAGTTGTCGCAAGCAGGTTTTTCTTGTGTTTCTTATGAACTTGGTCTTAAATTTTTATTTCAAGTGGCATTAAAAAGTCTTGAATTTAACTTGCCTTATGCTGTAGGGACCCTGATATATGACTCCCAACCTTTGAAGGACTATTGAAGCCATATTATTAGTCCAATCTTCCACTGTTTATATTCCAGTTGTCTGTAAGGATCCACAGATTAAAAGCAATCCAGCATATTTGTCATAAAAATATTCCATGATGAGAAAATCGACACCCAAAGCCTGTTTTTTACCATCAGAAAAGTTAGCTCATCAAAGCTAAAGCTACATGTCCTGCTGAGAAGGCTTCATCCCCAAACGTTTTTCCTCTGTTTGGTTTGTTTCGACTTTCCTGCCTACAAAAAAAAACCATTTCTGTTAGGATCTGACTCCAGTCTGGGAGCCAAGTACGCACAGAGTCCCGTCATTTGAAGCCTCATAAAGTATTTGATAAGAACATGTAGCCAATGAAATTACCTCTCTAACAAGGCATGGTTAATTTGAATAAAGGAGAGCATTTTGCAACCTTAGGAGCAGAACGCATACTTTGTTAAATATTTCTGATTTTGCTTATTTTTATTAAGTGCCTAAGGCAAAGAAAAAAAAAACACAATGAAAGAAGCACTGGAGCTCACTTCTCATATTCTGTATAATCTGACAATGAATCAAAACTGTCAGCTGAAATGAGTAACCGAATGAAAATGTTAGAAAAATTTAAAAAATATGCTTAAATTTTATTTTGCGGTCATCAAAATACTTCAGTGTGATTGTAGAGGTCTAATAGTCGAGTAAAAGCATTTGGCACAATTTGGAGGGTTGGAGACGCTGGTGACCTCGGAGTTAAGCGTCCCTTAACTCCGACTGTTCTACCCGGAGGTCTGACATTTCATGCACTTGTGATCAACATGATGTAGAATAAATGTAATGACACATGCCTGTTATCAGGCTTGTTACTGTTAACTAGGTTAGTAGCACTATTCTCATTTATATTTTCAGAAACTAGGTGTAAGATTTGAAATGAGATTTCAAATTCCTTATTTTTTATTTTTTTCCCATTTGGGTTTGCAAAACAGGCATTAATTAATTGAAAAAATTAAGATGTTAAACTTCTTTACCTATTCCTCTTTAATATTTATTATGATTTTTATATGATGGACCAATAAAAAAGTAGAGCACAACTGAAGTGGAAGGAAAAAGGCTTTTATCAAAAAGTATTTCTTTACCTTTCTTTCAAAATAGGTTCATTAATAAAGTAGAAGTTCGAGCTTTTAAAACATTTTTTCACACATTCAGGGATGAAAATAAATGACTAAGGCGACGTTCACACTGCAGGCCTTGATGCTCAATTCCGATTTATTTGTAAAATCTGATTTTTTTTGCGTTGTCGTTCACATTTCCAAATATATGCGACTTGTATGTGATCTTCTGTGTGAACTGCAGTCATACAACGCAAGTGTCCCGCATGCGCAGTCGAGGACGCAATGACATCACAGGCTATAGTGCTCTGTGTTTACAGAAGTAAACATGGATTGTAGTGCCGGAGCACATCTAGCGATCTTTCCCAACCATAAAAATACCATCTTTTCAAGATGGTTTAACATAAATACTGCTCTCCGTATCATCATCATCCATCACGGTTGTTGTTTTTCTTGCCGCTTCTTCATAGCAAGACCCACAATAGTGACCTTTGTCGGGCGACCTGGCCATTCCCACATAGGTCACATTTGAAAAGATCAGATTCGTATCGGATTCAGGACCACATAGCCAAGTGGCCTGGGTCGCATTGGAAAAAATCGGATCCGTGTTTTTCAGAAAGACATGAAAAGATCAGATCCAGGTCGCATATGGGTAAAAAAAATCGCATTTGGGTCACTTCAGGCTGCGGTGTGAACGTAGCCTAATTGAAGTGAAACCCTTTGCTATACTACGCTGACCAGCCAGACTAAATTTCAGTGTAAACATGGCGTATCATTCTGGAAAGAAACAGGTAGAGCCTGATTTTATAGGCAGGGAGGAAACTGGTTGAAACTAATCTGATAAAAACTGAAGGAAAAATGTCTCTTTGAAAAAGAAAAACTCTTGACAGCGGCCAGGTGTTAAATTTTTAAAGATATATCGAGCTTATTTGGAAAATAATGAAGGACAAATTGAAAACATTGCTCCACTCCAGCTACAATTTTGTCTATTATGGTTAAAGAAGAATGCTGTTGCATTATGGGTAATTATGCCATAATAAATCACCCAGTTTAATCAGTCAAACATGTTTTATCCTGGTTAAACCAGGTGATGCTTGGTTTTCCTTCCATAAGGTTGTTCTAATGCAGGAAATAAATGTTAGAAAAACTTATTTTAGCAGCTGTATTAGATAGCCATCTGTTAAAATGTCCTAGTCCAAGTCCAGACCCTAAATCCAAAATAGGACCAGTGCTGTTTTTTGTTAATCTAAACAGAGATATATGCATTACTTTCCTAGTCTGTTGCATGAAGCAGCAATAAAAAAAAAAACATTCACAGTACGTATTTCTTGACATTGATGATTTTCTTCTTTGTTCCCCTTGTCTCTGAGCAGTTGTTGCTGCAGATCGTTGGTGTGATCGCTGTAGCCGCCTCCGTGATCCCGTGGATCCTCATCCCGGTCGTCCCGCTCCTCGTGGTGTTCCTCTTCCTACGCCGTTACTTCCTGCAGACTTCCAGAGAGGTCAAGCGCCTTGAATCCACCAGTAAGTACCTCGTACTGCAACAAGGTGTTAATCCAAACATTATTTTTTTTTTTTTTTACTTTTGCATCTTTTATGACATTGTTTGTGCGTCCCTGCAGCCCGCAGTCCCGTCTTCTCCCACCTGTCGTCGTCTCTTCAGGGGCTCTGGACCATCCGGGCATTCGGAGCAGAGGAGAGGTTCCAACAAATATTCGACGCTCATCAGAATCTACACTCAGGTTGTTCTGCTCTTTCCAAACGTTGGGCTTTTTAGTGGCTTGTTGTCAGCAGAGTACTGACACTTTATGATTGTGAACAGAGGCCTTTTTCCTGTTCCTGACAACCTCTCGCTGGTTTGCCGTCCGTCTCGATGGGATGTGCTCCTTCTTCGTCACCATAACCACGTTTTTGTGCCTGTTGCTCAGAGATCGTAAGGAGGGCTTTAATCTCTACATCATCAATCTAAAGATTATCTCTTTGCCACTAGAGGGAGCCAGAGGATAACCTTTCTGTCCTGGTGTGGTTTCAGAGCTGGATGCTGGTTCTGTTGGTTTGGCTCTGAGCTACGCAGTCACCCTGATGGGAATGTTCCAGTGGGGCGTCCGGCAGAGCGCTGAGGTGGAGAACATGGTGAGACTTTGGTTATTTTTAAACCCAGTTTTATGCAGACGTTAGACATCTAATTCAAGTGCTGAACTCTTCCCTTTGGATTTTATACCGTTTCATGATCGCAAAAGAGGAATCAGACTGCTTTAATTCTGCCTCTGGAAATGGAAAATAAGATTCACACGTTAGGATCTGGTTTCTGACTAAATCCAGAATCACTCAGAAGAAACGCATCACCCCCATTTTGTGTATTAAAGGAATAGTACACCCAAAACATGATTAGCCTTCATTTTCTACTCACCCCCATGCTGAACAACACTCTGGAGTACTTTTTTGATATCTCAAATGCATCTGGAGATCTGGGAGGCTTCTTGCTGTCTGCTGACATTCAAATAATGGAGGTCTATGATGCCCGAGGCAGAAAGGTCCATAAAAGTCCACAAAAAACGTGTCAATATTCCTCATTACTGCTCGTCCAATGTATTCCAAGTGTCCTGAGTGGGTAGCGTCCATAATTTACTCGAAACGAAGTCATTTAGAATGTTTTTAGAGCATAAACAGTAGTGTATAGGATTTCCTAAAAGCGCGTTCACGACGCTACGGAAACCGCGGCAGACCAAACCAGCAGCAGACCAAACCAGACGAAAGTGACATTTATTGTGTGATTTCTTTGTTTTTTTTCTTTGTTTTGCTCAGATTTCAATAAAAAAAATAAAATAAAACTGATATAATTTAACTCGTATACATTTTAGCAGTTCATTGAATTAAGACTCAACTTTTCACTCTCTGAAAACAGTTTTATTGATATTACTTTTTCCAAATTTTATCCTGAAAAGTAAAAAAATATACATCTTGTTGACAGAATTGGCTAAAAACCTCAGGAAATAATCATGTTTGCATTTAATTTAAACTTTTTGATTATGAAGGAAGCACCTAAGCTAACATCTCTATCCACAGATGACCTCGGTGGAGAGAGTGGTGGAGTACACTGATCTAGAGAGCGAAGCACCCTGGGAAACCCAGAAGCGCCCTCCTCCTGATTGGCCGAGCAAAGGCCTCGTGACCTTTGACCGCGTCAGCTTCTCTTACAGCGATGACAGTCCCCAGGTGCTGCACAGCCTCCAGGCCATGTTCAAACCCAAAGAGAAGGTGAGATGTTTGATCTGTGAAGCTGCACGTCTTCTTTGAGGCACAGAAACTGACGTTCCTCCGTGTTTCAGGTGGGGATCGTTGGGAGAACCGGTGCGGGGAAAAGCTCTCTGGTCTCGGCTCTGTTCCGCTTGGCGGAACCTCAGGGTAAAATCTACATCGACGGGGTGGTGACCTCATACATCGGCCTCCATGACCTGCGGCAGAAGATGTCCATCATTCCTCAGGTAAACTAAAATGAAGGAGTAATAGTAACAGGAGCTCCCTGCTGCTGCTATGTTAGATGTGCATCCATAACAATCTGCTAAATGAATCAGCTCTAAATAAAAATAGCTTTGTTCTGTAGATGGAGGCAGACGTGTGTATCATTTTACCTAAAACGAACACAAACTTTTATTTATTTATCAGTATTTTATGACAAACAGAAGTGAAAAGAACAGGACGCTTTGTTTTACCAATAAAAATATCAATTTATTATCTTGGCTTACATTCAACCCCCCTTAAAAAGGATGTTTCAGGATGAGATCAAGGGCAAACAACTATTAGAGAGCATGACTGTATGGGATTCTTTTTTTAAAAAGTAGTGAAAAACATTATTTCTATCCAGAGACAGACAGGTTGGCCCCCTGTAGAAATAAACCTCAGTCAGGTCAGATGGAGAGTCTAACTTTAGCTAAATACTCTGTTGATATCAGGTTCCTATTTGGTTTACAGGAAAGTTTTTCACCCTTTTATTTTCTCTAAGTAAAGAAAACTGCAGTAAATTACATGTTGCAATTAAATAAACTAATTGAAATCACCAAACTGTTTAACGTACTTCGCATCGATTCTTTCCATTCTGATCCGATGTCTTAATCAGATTGCTTCTATTAAAATTAATTGTTTTAGCTGTTACCTGAATTGCATCCCTGTGTAGTGACGCAACATATTAATAGTAGTATTATTTTTAAATTGAGGTAATGGTAGTTAAAGGCAGTGGAAAATAAATTTTTACAAAACCGTCGTTTCCAATACATGTCATTGATCATGTCGCACCGCCACTGTGAAATAACTTATTCTAATTATCATCGGAGTTGAATTAAATGAAATAAATGAATGAAATATCATGAAATGTTCACATTTATTTAGTTACTGCTGATCACAGTGAGCTCCTCTGCTCTCGGTAGTGAAGAAAAACGGGAGATGATGATCCAGTGTTGCTAGCTTTAGTGATTTTAATCACTTTAAGAAAAAGATTACCGTAAATTCCAGACTATAGAGTGCACCTGATTACAAGCCGCACGCTCTAATTTTAGAAAGAAAATAAATTTTGTACTTTTATAAGCCGCACCGGATTTTAAGCCGCAGGTTTAACCACGTATGCGATATTTACAAATAAAGATATTAAACGTGAGAATTTTTTTAACGTTTAATCCATATGATAAAACAAACAAATACGGTACATATTACAAATGCTTTTTTTTTCTCCAAACTACCTGTAACACATTTAAATATAGGTATGTGTCCGTAACACGCAAATAACGCTGCATATACCGGTACTTTTAATTGAACAATGCACAGAACATTGCAGCCAACCAGGAAAAGTCATTAATCACTTTATTCTTCCTCCTGCGCACTAAAACCCTCAAACTCCTCTTCCTCGGTGTCTGAAAGGAACAGCTTCAGGATGCTGTCACTGACTTCAGTCTCATCCTTGTCGCTCTCACTTGAGCAATCGCGGTCCTCTTCATCCCTCAGCAGCCCAGCCTTCCGAAACCCGCCGGTGATGCTGGATGTTTTCACACGGCCCCACGCATTGAGAACCCACTGGCAGACATCAGTGAAAGATGCCTTTCGCATGCGGCCAGTTTTGGTGAAGGATTTCTCGCCACCGGTCATCACATCTGGGAATACTCATCAATTTTATTGGTCTGTTTTTCGCGCCATGAAAAAAACATGCATTAGCCGCGTTGTATTATAGGCTGCAGTGTTCAAACAGCGGGAAAAAAGTAGCAGCTTATAGTCTGGAATTTACGGTAATTATTAAATCTACTGAATTTTCTGTGTTTTCGGCAAGTTAAATGATTTAATGTAAAAGCAGCAGTCGTTCTGCTGTTACTGCCTTACAATAGCACTAGTAGCTGCTTCCTTAAACGCTGCCTCACATGCCATCATAGACCTGCTCTGTTTTTAATACATGCTTAAAGCTGCTGATGATTCCACCCTGGATTACAAACAAGCTTATAAATATAGTTTTTATCTAGAACTGTTGCCTTAAAATCTGGTGTCTTTTTGGTAAAATTAGATATTTTCAGGCAATACATTAACATGCATATATTATTTCACATATTGATGTAGTTAATTCTAATTTTGTGTCACGTATGCATGACCCACCTCTGCAGTTATTTACAAAAAAAAAACGTAGAGGAAACCTGGAATTAATGAAAATTCCTTTATTTTTCAAACACAGTGTAAATGTGAGTTTAAACATCAGTAAATTTTTTTGGATAAAACATTTCATACGTGCATTTTCCCCTACGGAGTGGATTTAAACCTTAACTTTGTGTCTGAACCTTGTATAGAAAATCTACCCCACAGTATAATACTGCCAACACCGTGTATGAGTACTAGTAGGATCGCATTATAGTGGTGCATAACAAGCAGCATTACTGAAGCTTTTATGTTTATTCCTTACCTCTTGCGCTTTACAGACTAACATGTCTGTAACATTACTTCTCAAACATTTCAGATCTCCCTAAAAAATACAGAGAATTTCACTCTTCTACATTCATTAACAGCATATATAATACAATTTTTATCTATTTATTTTATGATCTATGTATCACAATCTCCTAGGTTTACCAAGCCTACACAGATCTCCTGCAGTTTATTTAAAGTTTCAGATGAAAACAGTAGTTTTATTCCACATAACAATCGTAAACTGTGTTGGTTTATCAAATCCAAACTGTTAATAAAATATTTCAAGTGTTGGGAATGTTTTTGTGAGGATTTGCATGTGGTGGTGCCTCCATCTCTGACCGTGTCCTTTCTCTGGTTTGGTTTGCAGGACCCTGTGCTGTTTACTGGCTCCATGAGGAAGAACTTGGACCCCTTCAACCAACACACAGATGAAGAACTGTGGAACGCCCTGCAGGAGGTCGGTACCAGCATGTTCTGCCTTAAAGCTGCTTTTAAACATGACCTGCATTTTGCAGGAGGATTAATGAGGGATGTGATTGATGGAGGCATTTGCCTAAAAAATAGATTACATTTTCTAAGCCTTTAAATGTATAATCCTCCACAAAACCAAAATATTTGCTCTACATCATTTAGCCTAAAGCTAGAGTTCCCTCAGAGATGCTTCTTGTTGGAACGGATCCTGTAGGACAGGTGTAGCATTTATAAATCAGCAGGGTCCGAGGAAAGAAAATCATCAACCAGTAAAGGTCCGGAGACATTTTTAATTATAATCCGTTACTTTAAACAGAATTTAAAACTGAAATAAAATGCAGGTGTTTATGCATCCATGTTATACATTGACTTATTAGATAAAACACATAAAAAATGAAACGTTTCCATTTTAAAATCTAAATTGTTTTTGAAGTAGAGAACAATAATAATTCAGTTTGGTCTTTTTTTCTGTTTTAATGTTCGCAGTGGGGTTTATGCTGCCCTGCAAGGCTTTAAACCTGGGTTTGAATTGAGACAAAGCCGTTCTAAAGCACATATCAAGGAGCTCATTTTGAGTCTGGATCCATATTTATTTATTTTTGATTCTGTTCATGGTGGAGAATCCTGCTTCACAGCAGCAGGTTGAGCCAAACATACTCAAGATGTGCAGGGTCATCTTTGAGCACGCCATTTCACTTTTCACCACAGTTCTTCCAGCAGTCCACCTTTTTCTCTGCTCTCTCTTCCCCATCGCCCGGCTTGCCACAGGTTCGCCTGCTGTGTCTAAAAGTAGCAGCAGCAGCTCATTGGTTAATTTATAACATGTGCAGCCACGCTCCAGAAGGCTTTACCATATTGACAGGAGAAGCAGCTCAAGTGAAGTTAGACTCTGTCGTTGGACAATATGCAGTAATTTATAAATGTTTTCAATCAGGTTGGGTTAGCCAGCAGATGTCCAGACCGCGGTCCGCTAATCCGTGATCTCTGCTGTAGTAAATGACGTCTGATGTCCTGCATGTTTCCACCAGGTGCAGCTTAAGTCTGTGGTGGAGGAGCTGCCAGGGAAGCTGGAGACGGTTCTGGCCGAGTCCGGCTCCAACTTCAGCGTGGGTCAGAGGCAGCTGGTGTGTCTCGCTAGAGCCATCCTGAGGAGGAACCGCATCCTCATCATTGACGAGGCCACAGCTAACGTGGACCCCAGGTAATGCAAAACACATGGCCTTTTCTTTTCTTTGACTTCTTTTTATGTATTTTAGAATTTCCCATCATTGAAGCAATAGGTATGGATATAGATAATAAAAACCCAAACGTTACTTATTTTAATGTTTTTAATGTTAAAATGTCATGGCCAACAGTCATGATTAAGACGACTGAAAGTTATTCATGCTTCACTGGTACTAATAGGCCAAAGCTCACAGTGATTAATCCGCCCGATTCTAGAGTTCCTCCATTCAGCTATTTTTGATGGAAAACTGAGTGGAAGGAAAAACTAAACTACATTGAAGTTTCTGATCGAAAGTCACAGCACACACTAGCCGATTTACTCTACCATTTTGAAACCGTGGTGAGATCGGTCCGAGCACGGTAACGGAGATAACTGTTGAGTGTAAATGGAACACAAAACGGAACCGGACCCTTCCAGACACAACAGAACCGCGCTAAACTGGTACTAGTTCATCAGCGCGGTTTAGTTCTGGCTCAGTTCTCAGATAAAGAGTGAATGAGCAGACCGCATCATCTCCTTAAGGCTGATTTATACTTCGAAAATAGGTTGTCTGCGTAGGTGTCGCAGTGAACAAAAGACGTCCCCACCGTGACCGCTCGGCACGATTCAGTTATCAGAGGGGTAGTGTAAATGGGGCTACAAGTTCAACGCCACTACTAATGAACTTCATCACTGGAGAGAGACTCCTGTATTAATCTCTCTATCCATGAAAGGAGCTGCTGGAAGTTCAGGAAGTAGTGGCGTAGAGCGTGTAGTTGAGAGGTTTCTAACTAAGGATTAGGAAAACAGGGACTGGACTGTTTCTCAGTGGAGTAAAGTCTCCCTTCCTAAATTACAAATGACGTCTGCATCCGTTTTGAAGTCCAGCTCAAAGCTTTGGGTCATTTTCTGTTATTTCGAGTCTCCTGCCTCCTACTGGACAAAGGTTACTAATGTCCTCCATGGCAACAGAAAGTGGACGGTAGATTGATCCATGGCTGAAAAGTGTGTCCCCTTTAACCTACTCTGATAAAAAAAATGGTGTCTCCCACAGGGCTCGATGTTAACCATCGCCCGGGGCAAGTGCAATGTTCGCAAAAAAAATATATTTATCGCTCAATATTACTTTAAAATCACCGACATTCGCTCAAAACGACCAAAAAGCATTGCCGGCGCCATTTTTGTTGTTTTGTACACATTCTCGCGTGATTTTCCTCTCCTTGGGGAGAGAATTCTACAGAGCAGCAGCTGGATGATGAATTTAATCTATACTATAATACACGCTAGATTAAAAATGATCATTCAGGGATTAGGAAGATAATAATAACTGTAGCACACAGTGTAAATATTTCTATCATATGGCAGTCTTCTGTACAGTGGTCATGCATTAAAAAATGTTCATTAAATTTTTTTCTCTTAGACATTGGAGTGGTGCATTTAAATGTTATAGAGCTAAACATGTTAAATTGGTGAGTAGTAGTGTAAGTTTTTTTTTAGATTTTTAACATTACAATTTATATTTTTCCAAGCAAAGTTTAGTTTGAAAAGCATGTTAATACGGTAATGTAGGCTTGAGTTCATTATCTGACGCATGCAGATACACACCAGGAACCTGGAAACTTTAAAAAAAACTGAATTACAAAGAAACTTGTTTCATTGATTATATATACAAAAATAAATATTAGGAACTATATTTATCAAACATTATACTGGGCAAGCAAAAATCCTTAACGTCAACCCCTGTCCCATTGGATGCACCGCCTCTATGTATTTAAAAGGAAAGTATGCCATGTACATCAATGCCGTATTTTCTGTATTAAAAAGTATTTTTCTTAACCGGGATTTTATGTTCTGGTTGCTGCAGGACAGACGACCTGATCCAGAAAACCATACGGGACAAGTTCAGAGAATGCACTGTGCTCACCATCGCTCATCGCCTCAACACCATCATAGACAGCGACCGCATACTGGTGAGTCAATAAGATGACGCTGTTTTTCTTTTACATGAACAGTGCAGGATAACCACAAACAGGCTTAAAATGGAAGGCAGTTGGACTTTTGCTCAGTTTTACACCTATCCAGGAGTCTTTGTCAATTCTGTCGGCTGCACCGGAGCAAACTCTATTTGAAGCGCTGACGTACCAACCTTCTACATACATTTCAAGTCAGATGCTAATCTGATAACTTCCCTTTGTTTTGAATCTTTGGCGCTAAAGCTGCAATCACCCCCCTCTGTTCAGTGATAGCTTTTCTCTTTTCACAAAGGAAGCTATATTTGTGAAAAGAGAAAAGCCATCACTGCACAGAGGGGGAGGATTGTAGTTTCAGCTTCCAGACAAGCGTTAGCTATTTGATTAGCATCTGACTGGGAATGTGTGCAGGAGGATAGAGCTCCAACAGAATTGACTAAAACTCCTAAAGCCTCTTTTAAACATGGGTTGACATGCTAAAAATCCACATTTAGCAAGCTGCGTGGCTGGTAGACGCCTAATTGGATGCTGGCTGACATCTTGGATCAGGCAGGTGCCTTTAGATCTCAGTTTAATCACATCTAAGATAATATTACAATAATCTCTTACATGTAAAAACCAATTAAGGCCAAAACAAATTCTAAAATTACCTTACAATTAGATTACACATTTTTAAACTGAACTCAAACCAGAGGAGATATATGCAAAGTTATTCAGACTACTAGCGACAGTCCAATAGGTTCCATTTTAAGCCTGTTTGTGGTCGCCATGACCAGTTTTCTTGCTATTGTAAGACAGGAAAACAGTCAACACAAAAATAAAACACTTTTCATCAGATCACAGTTTTATACATCTTTATAAGAAACAGCTCAAACGATTGTATGTTGCAACTCCTGCTAGAAAATACTTCTTTAGACAAAAGAATAACAGTCATGCCTTTGGATTTCTATACTTAAAGATCTAGATTTTTGCAGTACAAAAAAAATACTCTAATGAAAAATAAAAAAGCAAAGACATGTTTAAATACAAAGGTTGTTGGCTTCAGGTAGACTGCTGCAGATCAGTTTATGGTTAGACAACGAAAGACCTCACAAACGCAGGAATTACCATCTGTTTAAAAGTTCTAGTAAAGCAAGAAAAGTTTAAGAACCGATTCGCTTTAAATAATTGGATCATAGACCCGACAGTGTTCATATTCTTATGTTTCGACCCTAAACACCTTTCTGCAGGTTCTGGATGCAGGCCAGATCCACGCATACGACGAGCCTTACGTCCTGCTACAAGACACTAAAGGCATCTTCTATAAAATGGTGCAGCAGACTGGAAAGCAGGAGGCGGCGGCGCTACTAGAAGCAGCCAAAAGGGTGAGTTAGAGTCTCAAGAATGGAGGTGTGGAAATAAGTTGAAGCCAAACTGACATTGAACGTGTCTCCAGGCGTACGACGGCAGGAGCCGTCCCAGCATACCGAACGGACACGCAGAAACGGCAGCTGGAAACTTGGTGATCTTTGAGACGGCTATGTGAGCGTAGAGATGCGACGCTGCTTCTATGCCAGGAGAGAACAGAGACGGGCCGGTCCGTTCTGTGGCGCTGATCCACTGCAGAGAGGCCGTCGTCTTAGTGTGACATTTAACAGCTCAGCCGGACATTTGCTGGCTATGTTCTAACGCCGGTGCCTTAAAGAAGTGACTCGAGTCTTTTTCCTCTAGTTGTTAAAGGTTAACCTGTAAGTACTGTTGCACTGACAAAGCAAACAAATCTGAACCCTGAATCTCTTGAGGTCTCAGTAAAAGTCTGTTTTTTAAACTGGTTTTTAGCTTTGTCCGTCTCTTTTATAAAAGTGCCTTAATCTAAACTCTAGATCTTTGGTTGTATGTTTAAGGTGAACCAGTCTAGTATAGTGCAGGATGTTCTGTTTACGTAAGGCCGTCCTACGCGCTCGTCCCCAGTTAGCTTTCTTTTTCTGCACATGCACAGTTTCAGAGAGCTCTCCGCACAGGCAGGAAGTTCAGACACAGTGAGCTATGCAAACAGCAACTTTTAAGACTTAAACAAGAGGGATCTTCCCCAAAATTCATGAAAATCCTCCACTATACCTTTAAACTCCATCTCTTCAGCACCAGGCAAACTGTAGGAACCATAACGGGTCATTTCTAAAAGGTGTTTGTCATAACCAGAGAAAATACTTCAACAGCAAACTAAGGAATTTAAACGTTTGGTCCCTGTACTGGCTGCAGGTTTGAACATAGAACCAGGGAATCTAATTTAAAAAAGCCTTTTACAAACAGAACATTTCACAGCTAAGCTTTTCCCTCCTTATAGGAAGTAAATCATACGGAGTGTACACAGAAAAGTCAGCATTTACTAAGCCAACAGCTAGGATTAGCACCTCTAGGCTACTTCTTAAACTTGGATTACCATGAGTTAGCTTGTAGCTCAGGGAAAAATCCAGTCTAATCGTAAAGAGATGGTTCTGGTCATCTTATGCTGATTACAGCCATGCTGGTATTATTCCACACTAATTGTGTTTTTGAAATCTAAAAAATGGCTACTCTATATTGAAAAGAATCTGCAGCACTTGTGATAATCAGTGGGTTAAACACTCTTTGGTATACGCCTTTCAATAATTCTCCGCAGGTGTATCTTCATAAGCTAGAACATGGTATCTCAAAAAGTAAAGCTTCAATTCGGAGTCTATTTGTGAAAAATTATGACCACAAAGGACTATGATAATAGTCATTTTCATTAAATTAAGAAGTGTTTTTGGCATGATGTTATTTTCTAATCTGAAATGTCACAACAGACTGAAATAAAGACTTTTTGTGTGTAATTGAATTGCTGAAATAACTTATTTAACCTTGAATATGACTGTATCTAGGTGACATCAATAATGGTATATTTGAATTAATTATAAAGGTGTTCAATATTTACCATTTTGATGATTCTGGCTTAGAGTTCAACTCAAAAAGAGCAATAGACTGACTCCAATTGTAGCTCCTGTTCTTTCACCTTTTGCAGGGTCGACGGTAAGAAAGGCGCTCTATACTACTGAATCCAGAAAGCCTTCATTAAGCAACAAACACATGAATGACGCCGATCACATTAGAATTACCAAAAAAAAAGATGTAGTTAACCTCCATGAGGTTGGCTATGCCGCCTGCAACACAAAGGATTGTGGGAAACCATATAGATCCTACAAACCTCAGGAGGTTCCAATGCTAAATTAATTGGCGAGAGGTAGCAAGATGCTTCCTCTTCCCAGCATATTTGAAATGCTGGGACCAGACTTTTTAGCTAACAATGCATACGGCTATACATTGTACGCCCTGTTTTTGGAATGTTTTGCCCTGGAAACTTTGCTCAAATGCTAAAAATTTAACTTTTGCTGCTCGACGTGCCACGTCAACCAATCAGAGAAGCGGATCTGGGAGCTGGCAGGGAGGCTGATGCAGATTGCAATGATCACTCCTCTGAAACAGTTTATTAACGTCTAAACCTGGCGGCAAAATATGTTTGCTTTTATTATCCTGGTGCCTGCAGTTTGTACCACATACCTGAAAAACGCTTACATCTACTGCCAGCCGCCACCAACAGTAGGGGTAAAACCCGAAGAGGCAACTGCTGTTGGGAATTTCCAGCACACTGCCGGTGTGTGGGGGTCTGAGTGGCTCCAACAGAGCTCCAACAAATACTCAGCACAAAAATATATTAAAACTACTTTTTATCAACTTATCGCAGCAAATGTAGCAAAGCTGCTCTCTGCCATTTAACTGCACGCCTCCTCAACGCGGGCAACCTGGGTTTGAACCTGGCCTGTGGTCCTTTTCTGTCAGCCTACTGTCGAAAAAACGAGCCACTAGTGCCGTAAAAACTCCACACAAAAAAGACGGTGCTCTGAGCAGCGTCAGAAATAAAGCAGCAGAGCCTTTTTTTGCTGCAAAAAGCGCAAGGGATGTGAACGTGGCATTACACTTTCTGATTGTTTTTATTAACCTATGAAATGTCCACCTTTATTCAAGCACACGTATTTTCAATAATCAGGACAAAAGTAGTGTTGGAACAGAGACAAAAAGCTGCGTTCCAATTCAAAATGCAGGAAATAACATGACACAGAGTCTAAATTTCACAACTTTCCAGGGGAGGATAATCCCGGACCTCCTATGCCATGCAAGGCCTAAAGTGGTGATACACCAAGGTGTACACCCTATAAAATATTCCCAGCTAACGGCCTTGTCTGGACTGAGCCATAGACTAACAAACCCTAAAAATACATTTATTTTCACAGCTTCTTAAGGTTCCTGACCTTCACTTTGTAGCCTAATAAACTAGCCCCACCCGCCAGCGACCAAAGTCATTCATCAATGCCCAAGGCCCTAGAACTGGCGGGCCAATCACAACGCAGAGATTGGTTTTGAGGGCGGGACGACAAAGTTGCACGACAACAAGGAAGATGGCAACAACTATTGAACAGTTCTCATTTGACTCAGTTTTGGAAGGATTCGACTTGGGGAGGAAGAGTCTCTACGCTCATTAATTTTTAAGAAGGACGTATTCGCCGCTTTACCGACAGGCTGCTTGTTTAAACTCCCCCACAGCTTTCTGACGCGCTTCCTACGTCACAGTCAGTTGCTCCCATTGGTCAGAACATCACAGACATGGTTTGAAAACAACTGGTTGTTCTCATCAACAATCATCCGATGCCTCATTCATCGGGACCAGACTAAATTACACATTTAATCTCTCATTGGCAAACCACTGATCTACAACTGGGAGGATTAACAAACGCATGTAATCGGATGGATTTTCATAACCTGTAAGCCAGAACCAGACTCTTAAGTTCATAAACTTATCTGTAGGATTTGACTGTAAATTGTGTTATAAATTAGCCCTATAATAATAAAACTTCTAAACATATTCCAGTTTATCAAGATACACCTGTATTTTCATGTTACCTTTAGCTACTTCTATCTCCACTGAGGTACAAATGTTATTTGTACGTTGATGACAGCCTTTTGTTTCGGGAATGTGCTCCTCCAGCCTCGGTTATCACAGCCTTGCAGTTTCATAAGCAGACTGCGGAAACATTTGGAAAACCTTTGTTAATCCAGATGAAAGACGCCTGCCCAGTGGCAGAGAGTAAAATAATAATTTCCAGCCCACCTGTCTAGCTGATTCTAGCAGAGCTTCTGCCTCGGCCTCGCCCGTCTGTTGCACCAGCTTGTAGAGAGCACCCTCTTTGTTCTGAAGCAGAGTGAAGGGTCGGTCTAATTCCTGGATGTGTCCGCTGTCAAGTACCTTCAAGGAGAACAGAAGGGAAGGTGGGTAAAATCAAGGTGTGACCAAGTCCCGTCCTAAGAAGTCGCAACTAAAGTTTCCCCATAGCGGCTTTAAAGGACTCACCAGTATGCGGTCGCTGTCTATGATGGTGTTGAGGCGATGAGCGATGGTGAGCACAGTGCAGTCTCTGAACTTGTCTCTTATGGTTTTCTGGATCAGCTCGTCTGTCCTGCAGCAAAAATGACAGTCTGTTAAGAGTGCTGACTTCTAGACCCAAAGCGTTATGTGCCAAAGAGCGTCTAATAACGGAGGTCTGCAGGGAGAAAAGTCTAGAATAAAACTCCAGGTTTGATGCTCTGAGTTAAATTTCCATTTATTAGGTCACTTTTGGTGATTTATAGTTTATTTATTGAAGTAGAAATCTGCAGCACATTTTCACTGCATGTTTGGGTGCATTACTGCACTTTAACACACAGTTCATTTTTGCACATGCTGAGTTCTGCATACATGTTTTGTACATGCAATCTTCATACACAAAGCTTCTTCCTGTGAAGTACCTGGGGTCCACGTTAGCTGTGGCCTCGTCGATGATGAGGATGCGGTTCCTCCTCAGGATGGCTCTAGCGAGACACACCAGTTGCCTCTGACCCACGCTGAAGTTGGAGCCGGACTCTGCCAGAACCGTCTCCAGCTTCCCTGGCAGCTCCTCCACCACAGACTTAAGCTGCACCTGGTGGAAACATGCAGGGATGTTAAAGAAGATCCATACCACCATTACATTATATGCTTCTGATTGGAGGGAAATAGAGAACGGGCTTTAAATACTTCTTCTAGAGCTTTCCACAGATCTTCATCAGTGTGCTGGCCGAAGGGATCAAGGTTCTTCCTCACCGTTTCAGTAAACAATACTGGATCCTTGAGATCAGTGAGAAACAAAGTTCATCAGACAGGATGACAGATCATTTGAGTTCATTCAGGGCAAATATACACTCACATAAAGACAGCATAAGAAAAATATATAATTCAAACATTGCTTAGTTGTTCACAATCAACCTCAGTTGAGTAACTTCTCATAGTAAAAGTCTCTACCAGGCACTGTTTCTATAAACTGATTTATGTTGCTGTTTCACTGTTGCACAATGCGTGGGTTAGGTCATGGACTGGTGCACTGAACGACCCGAGGAAGTCCAATGTTCACCAGCACTCATGATGCAACCATGGCAATAAGTTCACTGTAGTTCTTTAAAGCAACACATGGGCAAATCTAGTGCACTAAAAGGCTGTGATCTGCTCCAGATATCAGACAGGGGGCGCTGTTGATCAACAATTAT